CCAATAACTATTTTGCAGCCAGTTAAAGGAAGACATAATGGTTTTAGTAAATTAACCTCAGCCGCACCAGTTGGCTCTTCTTGCAGTATTTTTATTAATCAGCGAATTGACTGAATACAACCTTGTCTCCAACCAAAAACAAACCTTCTTTGGTGCGTTTCACTACCTGGCTTGCTCACAGGGATATAATTTTTTATTATAAAAAAAAAGCTGTAAGAAGAGCTAAATGGAGTGTGGCTGATGTTTTTTCCTACTTTTGGTGAAGAGTAGAGATGGATTGTGGTGGTCGGCACCCAGGTTGTCCATGTGAAGGAGAGGCCAGTCTTGAGAAGGGCTATGGATCTGTGTGTGTTTCTGTTGGAGTCTGTTTTATTTGAATTTTCTTTCTGTATTTTATAGCACACGGGAAGGTTTGAGGCTTTTAATATGCTTTAAAATAAAATCCTGTCGGGTTGCTTCACCCGGGGATAATGTCAGTATTCTCATTGCACACATTCCCGGATAAGTCAGTAGCATGTGCTGCACCGATTGCTTGCTGGACAACTATTCTCGTCACTGATCAATGCATACATTGGCCAGCACACCATGGATCATCAAATGTTGCCCAAAACGTTTATTGCAGGAATATCACATTGCAAAGGATCAAGTGTAATGTTTTGAAGCTGCACAGGACCCCTTCGTCAGGGGTGAATGGCTCAGAAACGGTGCACTAGATCCTTTGTGATGTGATCTTCCTGCAATAAAAGTTTTGGATGATATTGGGTTTAACGAAGACTCCTAGACTTGATTGGCTTTTCCTTACATTTGACAACTGATCAGCTAAAAGATATAAAAATAGATCTAAACCCCATAACTAAAATAATGTGTAGGGATAAAAGTGATCCTTACTATATCCTACATCATAGTAATATATTATAATTAAATAGGATTGTTTAAATTAATTACCGTATTTGCCGGCGTATAAGACGACTGGGCGTATAAGACGACCCCCCTACTTTTCCTGCTAAAATGTAGTGTTTGGGCTATACTCGCCGTATAAGACTACCCCTCTTCCAATGCACACCAGTGGGAGGAATAGTGCCCCATCATTGGTATCAGTGGGGGAAATAGTGCCCCATCATTGGTATTAGTGGCAGGAATAGTGCCCCATCATTGGCATTAGTGGCAGGAATAGTGCCCTATCATTAGTATCAGTGGAGGAATAGTGCTCCATCATTGGTGTCAGTGGGAGGAACAGTGCCCCATCATTGGTGTCAGTGGGAGGAATAGTGCCCCATCATTGGTATCAGTGGCAGGAATAGTGCCCCATCATTGGTATCAGTGGGAGGAATAGTGCCCCATCATTGATATCAGTGGGGGGAATAGGTGCCCCATCATTGGTATCAGTGGCAGGAATTGGTGCCCCATCATTGGTATCAGTGGCAGGAATAGTGCCCCATCATTGGTGTCAGTGGGAGGAATAGTGCCCCATCATTGGTATCAGTGGGAGGAATAGTGCCCCATCATTGATGTCAGGGGGAGGAATAGTGCCCCATCATTGATGTCAGTGGGAGGAATGGTGTCCCATCATTGGTGTCAGTGAGGGGTGGAATAGTGCCCCATCATTGGTGTCAGTGGGGGGTGGAATAGTGCCCCATCGTTGGTGTCAGTGGGGGGGGGAATAGTGCCCCATCATTGGTGTCAGTGGGGGGGAGGAATAGTGCCCCATCGTTGGTGTCAGTGGGAGGAATAGTGCCCCATCATTGGTATCAGTGACACCAATGATGGGGCACTATTCCTCCCACTGAGACTTGCTGACCCTGTTATCGTATGGTGCTGCTGCAGCCAGCATATGTGGTTGCAGCAGCACCTCTACACAGAACACTTACCTGCTGCTCCGGCACTCAATTTTCGCGGGGCCGCTCGGCTCCGCCCCCTCGCCGGTGATTGGCCGCCTGTGTGCCTTTCCTGAGCTACAGTTCTGGCGGCCAATCACCGGTGAGGAGGCGGAGCCGAGCAGCCGCACGAACATCCAGTGGCCGAACTGAAGGAGACGCCGCGCTTCCTGGACCGGATCGTCGTGGGACTGGATCCAGGTAAGAGACATCAGCCCCTGCAAACCCCTGTACTTAATGCCGCAGCCCCCCTAAACATGTGTACCGGCGTATAAGACGACCCCCGACTTTTGAGAAGATTTTCAAGGGTCAAAAAGTCGTCTTATACGCCGGCAAATACGGTAATACATATATATATTAAGGTTTATTATATTAGACATGGCTATTATTGCCATTATATATCATTAACCTCCTTGGCGGTATGATTATCTCTGATTTTTTGTGCTGAAAGCGGTACCATTTTTTTGCATGGAAATATGTAGTTTTTTTATTGTAGGCTGTAATTTTTAGGAATAACTCACTGAAATCTGTACGAACAAGAGTCTAGTAAACATTCCGGGTATGATAAAACTTGAAACACAAAATCATAAATTATAATTTAATAAATAATCATAAAAAATAATAATATAATAATAATATATTTAATTCAATAATATAATCAAACCAAAAACACTGAAATTTGAAATACAGAGGCAAATTCCCACATCGCTGAGCAATGTGAAAATCGTTTTCAGTGTCTGATGTTGAATTTCCCCACGAATCATTATCACTCAATTCTGCAAGTGGTTCTGATTTACTATCGCTGTTCTCTAGCTGGTCTAAAACCCGCTTTTGACCTAAAGGGACGCTTTTTGGGCACCATGGACTTTTCTAAGTTTCCAGGCAGAAAGAACAGTCAAAATGCAGGCAGGGGACAGGACAAAGCAGTAGGAACAAAATATATGTGAAATGCATTGAAACAGCAATGTTTTACTATATAATAATCATTTTTTAAAAAATGACATTTTTAAAAAATTTCAAATTTGCCACCGGTGCCCGTACGTCCCGACGTCACAGGGACCGGAACACGGAAGCCGGATGCCGGCATCGGCCGGAGGAGATGGCCGAGGGACGCTGCAGGGGACACATCGCGGGAGCGAAGGACAAGGAAAGTGCTGCAGGGACTCCCTGAGCAACGCTGCAGGGTAAGCCCGAGTGTAGCTCGGGGTTACTCTTGGTACTGAAATTTTACCCCGAGCTACACTCGGGAATACCGCCAAGGAGGTTAAGTGAATGTATTCTGCTGCATTAGCAGTTAAAATGGCTTCTGGAGTTAAAGTGGCTTCTGCTGCTACCAAAGGTTTATATAAAGATTTTTTATGTAAGTTTATATAAGTTGTCAAAATCTGCAGAGTAATGATGAATGTTTGATAAAATATCCCGAAGTGTAAAAGGCAAATATTCTGGAGTGTAACTGATAAGCATAAAGGTGGGCAACAAGCCATAAAAAACCCTATAAAAGCAAGGACTGTCACATATCTAATCAGAGCAACTGATGGGCAGGGCATGGGTGCTCTCATACAATTGTATTATCGCTAATAAACATATAATTCGGAGGTTTCCTCTGCAAGGTTGTTTATTTCAGGTGTAAAGCCCTTAAATCCCTAATCAATAACATAAAGAATAAGCTGTTGCACATTAATGTTTTTTCAAAAGTTTAATCTTTTTTAATCTGCACCTTTTACTGACATGAAGGTCCTTATTCGGGCACTTCCTGTTTATGGGTGGCAACTGTCTCCTTTGTACTCCTACATTCTCACCCTGTCAGGTGCACCACTGATGAAGATAAGGGGGTGCTATGTAAACACAAATTTCACAGGCATAGGCCAAGATTAGGAAGCCGTTTTAGGGTTGTGAAGTTCTGCAGACACTGGAGAAGTGCATATAGACAAGAAGTGTCTGAAAGAGGCTGTAGAAGGACAGCAGCACTGATATCCAAAAAAAGTAAACAAAACATGACAGTTGTTTATAAAATACGATACTTTCTGAAAATAAATCTTTATTAGGATTTGAATTTACTTTACTACTGTCCTCACCGCAAATACAGTACAGTAGCTGAGTAGTGTAGTTAATGTTATAAGTCAAGATGATGCCCTATCACAGTTACATAGTCTGGCTGAAAAAAGACAAAAGCTCATTTTGTTTAACCATAAAAAAAAAAAAAGTTATAATGCTATACCCACAGTTGATCCAGAGGAAGGCAATAAAAACCCAGCAAAGCATGATCCTATTTGCTCCTGCAGGGGAAAAAAATCCTTCCTGATCCCCCGAGAGGCAATCGGATATTCCCTGGATCAACTTTATCTATAAATGTTAGTATCCAGTTATATTCTGTGTATTCAGGAAACAATCCAGGCCTTTTTTAAAGCAATCTACTGAGCTGGCCAGAACCAACTCTTGAGGGAGTCTATTCCATATTTTCACAGCTCTTACTGTGAAGAAACCTTTCCATATTTGGAAATGAAATCTCTTTTCCTCCAGACGTAAAGAGTGCCCCCTTGTCCTCTGTGATGACCTCAGGGTGAATAGCTCTACACTGAGTTCACTATATGAACCACTGATGTATTTATACATGTTGATCATATCCCCCCTTAATCTCCTCTTCTCAAGAGAGAATAAGTTTAGTTCCTCTAATCTTTCCTCATAGCTGAGCTCCTCCATGCCTCGTATCAGTTTAGTTGCCCTTCTCTGCACTTTCTCCAGTTCCCCAATGTTCTTTTTGTGAGTTGGTGCCCAAAACTGAACTGCATATTCCAGATGAGGTGTTACTAATGATTTGTACCGGGGAAATATGATATCTCTCTCTCTGGAGTCTATACCTCTTTTAATACAGTCTGTGAACACATTTTAATATGCAGTCAAACATGGTAGCAAAAGTGATGACTACTACAGAAATCAACTGTCTTGAGGATGTCTTTAATTAACAGCCCTAAGACACGTCCTCATGTCTATCTTGAGAAACATTGGTACAGTCCATGGATATGTGAAAATAAATCCGACCTGGAAGCACAGAGGTTAAGCCATATCTATAATGTTTCTGGAGACTTTTCTTAAATGAGCCAATTTCTTCTCCTTTTATCTCGGCAGGTCATGAGCAGCCGTTTTCTGCCGTACGATAACATAGTGACTGACGCCGTTCTCAGCCTTGACGAAGACACAGTACTTTCCACGACAGAGGTATGTAAGATTATATCTGCCTGCATCCAGAACAAAATGTACCTTACCTCCGCTGTGTACACATTATGAGTGTTTACGCTTTTAATGGACAGCTCCAGCCAAACAGCTGGAACGTGTAGCCAGGAATTTTGTTCAGAAAGAACACCAAATGGATACAGTGAATGGAGGAGATGGGTACATTTAATGGCTGACAAAAGGATCCTGTAACCTGCAGCCTGTGACCAGCAAAGAGTTTCAAAGGGTCTGATGCCAGGAACATTGTAGCAGAATTCAGTCCCGTATCTTATATATGCCTGTCCACAAACTTTATTAAAAACTCATTAAATATACAGTGAGGAACAGAAGTATTTGAACACCCTGCGATATTGCAAGTTCTCCCACTTAGAAATCATGGAGGGGTCTGAAATTCACATTGTAGGTGCATTCCCACTCTGAAAGACAGAATTTTAAAAAAAATTCAGGAAATCACATTGTATGATTTTTAAAGAATTTATTTGTCTTGCACTGCTGAACATAAGTATTTGAACACCTAAGAAACCACAAGAATTCTGGCTCTCAAACACCTGTTACTATGCCTTTAAAAAGTCCACCTCTACTCCACTCAATCTAACTTAGTAGCACCTGTCTGAGCTCTTTAAAGACACCTGTCCACCCCACAGTCAGTCAGACGCCAACTACTACCATGGGCAAGACTAAAGAGCTGTCAAAAGACACAAGAGACAAAATTGTGGACCTCCACAAGGCTGGAAAGGGCTACGGGGCAATTGCCAAGCAGCTTGGTGGAAATAGATCAACTGTTGAAGCAATTGTTAGAAAATGGAAGAGGCTAAAGACAACTGTCAGTCTCCCTCGACTGGGGCTCCATGCAAGATCTCAACTCGTGGGGTATCACTGATGATAAGAAAGGTGAGGAATCAGCCCAGAACTACAAGTGAGGAGCTGGTCAATGACAAGAGAGCTGGACCACAGTTTCAAAGGTCACTGTCGGTAGAACACTACGCCGTCATGGTTTCAAATCATGCATTGCACGGAAGGTTCCCCTGCTCAAGTCATCACATGTCCAGGCCCGTCTGAAGTTTGCCAATGACCATCTGGATGATCCAGAGGAGGCATGGGAGAAAGTCATGCGGTCAGATGAGACCAAAGTAGAACTTTTTGGTCTAAACTTCACTCGTCGTGTTTGGAGTAAAAAGGATGGGTTGAATCCCAAGAACACCATCCCTACTGTGAAGCATGGGGGTGGTTACATCATGCTTTGGGGGTGCTTTTCTGCGAAGGGGACAGGACCACTGCACTGTATTAAGGAGAGGATGAATGGGTCCATTTATTGTGAGATTTTGAGCAACAACCTCCTTCCCTCAGTCAGAGCATTGAAGATGGGTCGTGGCTGGGTCTTCCAACATGACAACAACCCGAAGCACACAGCCAGGATAACCAAGGAGTGGCTCCGTAAGAAGCATATCAAGGTTCTGGAGTGGCCTAGCCAGTCTCCAGACCTAAATCCAATAGAACATCTTTGAAGGGAGCTGAAACTCTGTGTTGCTCAGTGACAGCCCCGAAACCTGACAGATCTAGAGGAGATCTGTGTGGAGAAGTGGACCAAAATCCCTGTTGCAGTGTGTGCAAACCTGGTCAAGAACTACAGGAAACGTTTGACCTCTGTAATTGCAAACAAAGGCTTCTGTACCAAATATTAACACTGATTTTCTCAGGTGTTCAAATACTTATGTTCAGCAGTGCAAGACAAATAAATTCTTTAAAAATCATACAAAGTGATTTCCTGAATTTTTTTTAAATTCTGTCTCTCAGAGTGGGAATGCACCTACAATGTGAATTTCAGACCCCTCCATGATTTCTAAATGGGAGAACTTGCAAAATCGCAGAGTGTTCAAATACTTCTGTTCCTCACTGTACAAGAAATTGATTATGGAGGGCAGTCCATTCTAAAAATGATTTTGTGTATATTTGTAATCATCTACATTGAGAATAAAAGTGAAGGCACCTGAACTCCCAACGCCAGCTTCATTAAGAAAAAAAAAAAAAAACGTTTCATTACTCTGCAGGGGTTTCAATTAAAGAACAAAATGCTTTGACTGCAATACTTGCCGTATCTCTGGCGCTGTCCTTCATAGTTTCACTGTCCTATGATCTAACGCTCGTCCTTTCCAGGTAGAATGGTGACCAGACTCATTCTTCCAATTTCTCTGAGCTCATGGCATCAAGGGCCCTCCTCTGGGTACACCTCATCAATGCAATCAGAGCTCACAGGAAAATTCTGTAGGGAGCCGTACCATGTCAATAAGAGGATATGTGACATCCCACAGCAAAACTTAAAGGAGAAGTACATCCAAAGCTCTTTTGGCTGTACTTCTGCTGTGGATCACAGGATGGCAGTTCGCGCTGCATTCCTGTGACCCATTTTCAGCTGACAGTGGACTGAAGTCCGCTGTCAGCTGACGTCACTCAGCTGGTCCAGGACTGGGAAAGATCTCGACTGCAAAGTCGGGATCCACACCAGAGTCTGGAGCGGCAACTGGCTCGGCCTCTCAGCGATCTGTTTCAGCGAGTGCAGGGGGGGGGGAAGCAGAGCAGAGAGAGCGGTGATTGACTGTCCTGCTCTCTGCTCAGAGTGCCTTTGAGGAATCAGTGATTATGTGATCGCTGAGTTCTCACCCTTAGGCCCCCTTGTACACGGGACACTTCTGAACGATGGAAACTGACTGCTGGAAAACGTAGGTTAAAAAACATCTGTTTAGCTGCATTTGCATAACGCGTTTATGTGCGTTTGCGTTTACAATAGTTTTTTAAAGATAAGCACAGGAGAACCTCCCAAATGCCCAGAATGCACTGAAAAGTGGTAAATTATTAACTATTTCAGACTGTTTCAGAGAAATACAGAGAGTAGAAGCAGATAGAGCAGTATGTGTTGAGATTAACTTAGGTGTGAGTTGCTCATTAACACGTCTTTTGTTTCAAAGGGTGGGAGAGATCTGCGCTGTGCATTGGTCATTACAATGTATGACAAGCTTGGTAGGAACATCCTGTGTTCAGTGTTTTGTTTATCCGAGTACCTTGAAAATGCTTTGCATGCATTTTTCATGATGAAAAAAGGCCCTGGATAGCATTGGGAACTGGAAAAGTAAAAAAAAATTTCAAACGCGATTTGCCACGTTTGAAACGCTGATAAGATCAACTGCTGAACGCAAGTTTTCTGCATTAAAAAAAGACGACTGTAAGCTCAAATGCCTGTAAATGAAGATGTGTACATGGACACATAAGAAAACATTAGGGTGAGTTCAGGGGCTGCTGAAAAAAACGCTGAACAGCTCCTCAACATAAGTTTATTAGCTACGGTGTACATGAGCCCTTAGATCCAGCGGGGGATAGATGCAGCATCAGACCAATGATGTATCCACCTAGGTAAGAGTGATTGGGCGTAAAAAAAAAAAAAAAAAAATCCCACACTTCTCTTATAAGACCCTGCTGAATAAGGTATGTTGGTACTGCACAGAAAAGTTGGTCTTGAAGTGTTTTGGACTTTTCCTCTCTAATTCTGTCTCTAGTGCAGTGTTTCTCAACTCCAGTCCTCATGGACCCCCAACAGGTCATGTTTTCAGGATTTCCCTCAGATGAAACAGCTGTGGTAATTACTAAGGCAGTGAAACTGATCAAATCACCTGTGCAAAATAATGGAAATCCTGAAAACATGACCTGTTGGGGGTCCATGAGGACTGGAGTTGAGAAACACTGCTCTAGTGTAATCATCATATAGCTTCTAGTGCTTTAGCCTTTACACAGTCCTGTTCTTGGAACCTTTGCTTTCATAGCAACTTCAGGCTATTCATACAAAGTCAACCCTTAGTTTCTGCTGAACCTTAGAGACTCCAACAATAGGGTTTCCCAGCAGTCATTTGTACCTCCTTCCCTCCCACAAGTACTTTGGCAGGAGGACTGGCCAAATAAGTGTTTTATATTCTGGAGAATGAACAGGGGAGTATGACAGCATAATTTGGCTTTGTTACATCCATGGCTTTTGAGAGCACAGGGAGTTTCATAGAGGAACTCTTATCAAAGAGAGTCTCTCAAATGTAAAACCCATCAACATATGACTGAACCTCACCAGAAGGAACACATAAGAGAAATGTCACTTACAGCTTTTAGATTTAACCCAAGTATACACTGCTTGAAGGAATTATTATGTATGCTGACAGGTCCTATGCATGTGATACCGTCTATCTGCATTTGGCTGCAGAGGTTTATCACTGTCAGTGAGATTTTTGTGGAAAGAATTGTCCTCTAAGCTTTGTCTTGACTTCTTTTGTAGCCTGGACTCAATTCTTACAATCACTCAGAAACAATACGGTTATGTGTTGCTCATATCCTCTGACAATTTACAAGTGTATGCAATGAAAGTGGAACCACCAGGCACGTTTTTCAGCCCTTGCAGAAAGCTTCTTCCAAGATAATTAAAGTCACATTGACTGAGCAGTTCTGATTTTCTGCTTGTTTATTTTCCCAGATTCTAATATGAGCTGAAGGACAAAATCATGACATCCATTGAAGTGTGAGCATTGCCGAGCAGTGTTCTCTTCGGCCCTTTACAGGATTTTTTTTATTATGAAAAAGCAGCTTCAGGCATCCAGGATCAGTGAACTGTTAGTGCTGTGCAAGAAACAACATTGCCACCGCGCTAATGTCACTCAGTCCGCTAAGTTTATTTTTAAAGTTAAGCAGCAGTCAACAGGTTATATGTCTACAGTACCGCATCACAGAATGGGGTGAGCTAAAGGAAGAATCATTTTCCAGTAGCAACCAGCCAGCCATCAACTGTCTTTTCTGCAGTCTGGCTTTGAAAATGAAACAAGAATTCAGCCTTGATGCTATGGACTTCAAAAGCACCATTATGTATAAATAGTACAATGTCTAGCAGACTGAATATTATGTTAACAACCTTTACTTTCCTGTTATAGCAGTGGCACAGTCCCTGGAATTCATAAAGT